AGGGCAGCGAGGCCGGCGCCTTCCAGCCAGTCTGCCAGCCAAGCTTTTCTGAGGGGCGTGCCGCGCTCGGCGGCAGCCGCTTGGATGAACTTGCGCGTGTCGAGGCAAATATCGCTGTAGCCAGCGGATACAGTCGTGGACGTCTCTCGAAGGTCCTTGTCCAACAGCTGCACGCTGTGCAAGTGCGCCGGAACTCGGCCGCCAAGGAACATCCGTCGGGTGCGCGACACCACCAGGTCCGCCTGTCGGAAGCAGACTTTCGCCGCCTTGTTGTCGCGGCATTGAGCTGCTTCGCTCAGCTCCGCTTGCACTCGCCGCTCCGCGGCCCACTGCCAAGTAAACCTTCGCTGCTGGATCCCCAGCAGGTCGTAAAGAAGCTGGAGCACAAAGTATAGCATCCGCGAAGAGAACACGCTGCGATGCTTGCCAGCATTGCAAAGACAAATCAGCCGGACCTGTGGCACTTTCTTGCCTTTGCACACGTGGCGCAGCCAGCACACCACAGTCAAAGTCAAGGCCCACATGGCGTTGAACAAATAATTGTCGCCACCCTGCTCGAACTGATGCCAGAGACAGCCACCGTCCAGCGTGTGCTTCCAGCAGCTGTGCACCCTGTGTGCAGTCATGAAGTCATCAAGCCAGAGCAGCAACGCCGGCACCACCACTGTAGTGGAAGCTAAAGCCTCGGTCAAGCCATCCCGATCGGCCTTGGCCCCGTCAAAATCCGAGTCCCATCTCGGGTGGCAAACGTCCGTTTTGCCACCGGCGTAAAAGCCAATCCAAGAAGGCAGGTCGGACACCGAGTCTCGCAGAAGGTCTGCCAGCAACACAAATGCCGGATTCGGCGCAGCCATGGCGACGCCAGGCGGGCAGAAAAGCCGCGCCTAGGCTACTGCAGTTGCCAGGCGGGCAGAAAAGCCGCGCCAAGCAAGTTGCCAGGCGGGCAGAAAAGCCGCACCCAGCAAAAGCAGAACCAAACAAAACTTGCGAGGCTGCGCGTGTGCTGTGATGTGATGTGTGTGGCGATGAGCCTTTAGGTAGACCTTGCGTGTGCGTGTGTGTGTGTGTGTGTGCTGTGCGGTGTTTTTGTGATGCTGTTGAAGTATGCCAGTTGACTCATGCCTGATGTGAGGCTTTGAGCAGGTCGAGCATTTTCAAAAATCAGTCATTTCAACATGAGGTAAGCCAACGTTGACAGCAAGGTGCCCTGCAAAATTCCCGATGTCGGGAGCCTCGTTTTTCAAAAAACCAACCACACAGGAGACTTTGTATTCTGACAAACTTCTTTGTGGCAGTAGAGCGAAACCACAAAAAAAGCACCGACCAGAGGTGATCAACTTCCTTCAAAATGTTATCGAATGCTTACAGCAATGGTGGTTCCCCATAAAAAAATGGTGGCTCCTAGTAGGGACACAAATCACGGACCCGTAGTAGCGCGACCTATTCTTTGGATCAATGAAGTCTTCCATGGTACCAATCACAACACATGTGGATTCAAAAACCTCGTGCAATTCAGCTACCTGCAATTTCCCATTTCAATGCTTGGTACTTGTCTCACGTATGTTTGATTATAGCTGCTTAGAGACCCATCGTACTTGATTCAATCCCCATGGTTTCCAAGGCCAGGGGTACCCCTATTCTGAGACCTACGCTCTTTCTGGTCGGCATTCAACAATGCCACGTGCCTGTCGAAGAAATTCTTAGCTTGCTTCCAACGTGTGTCGGAATTCGCGCGGTTGCTGCTGACAACAGCTGACAAGCTTTGCTTCTGTAGCTGAGCAATTTCAACAGCATTCTGAGCGAAGAAGGCTTGCACTTCGACAAAGGCAGGAGCACGACGCGATGCTGCAGCTTCTTTTGCCGCAGCACTCACTTGACACAACTCAGCTTCCTTTGCAAGCAAAAAATCCTTTTCCGCAGACGCCAAGCGGTCGCTATAGCGCAGCAGGAAAACACGGCAAAAGCTCGACATTTGAAATTCCTGCATGTGTCGACTCTGCAAAGCTGCCAGCAAGCTTGGCTTGCTTGAGTATCTTATCGCCTCTGCCGTCTCTGTCAAAAATGCCTCCACGCGGCAAAAGCAGCGTTGAAGGCCGGCCAGAAAAGGCGCAGCCTCCAACGTGGACTTGTCACAAAGCACAAACTCCCAGTCTTCCAAAATCTGCTGCTGAGCTGGCTCCAAGCTTGAAAGTTTTCGTCTGCAGAAATTTCTGGCTCGCTCCCACTCTGGTACCTGACTGCGCCGCTTGCTGTTGAGCAAAGCTGTAAGCGTCGGCTTCTTCATTTGCACAAGCTCCTGCGAGTAGGCTGCCAAAAACGCCACCGTCTTATCAAATGCGTCTGCCATGGCGTCCGGAGCGGTCAGAAAAGACGCGCTCCACCGTGCGGGATACACAAGGAAACGATGTCACTGGCATGTGTCTGTGGAAGTATATGCGTTCTGTGGGAACACAAACTAAAAAAAAACATCAAGAGGTTGTCCGCCTGAGCGTGATGCTGGTAGGTCGGCTGGTGACAAACAACAAACTAGAACATTAACATGTTCTCGGCCTGTGTGTGGTGCTGGTGGGAGTGCTGGTGAAAGTGTAGTGGTGGTAGTGGTGGTGGTGATGTGAGTTGCCGCTCCGCGATTGAAGCCGGGACATGAACAAACATGAACAGTGGTGGTGGTGATGCTAGTGATGCTGGTGACGAAAACCGGGACATTGAACAAACATGACATACGCGGAGCAACTGACAAGACAGAGCCGAAACGCCACACGGTCACAGCGACATTACCTCCCTATCTATCTATCTATCTGTCTATCTACCTATCTATCTGCCTGTCTACCTCTCTATCTATCTGTCTACTTGTCTCTCTATCTTTCCAGCTTTCTATCTATCTATCTATCTATCTATCTGTCTGTCTGTCTATCTATCTAGAGCGCGACTAACTCAACAGGGCAGCGTAGGATGCCTTGCGCGTTGCCATTCCAATGCGTTTTACCACTGCCAAGCTGCATTCCATCTTAGAAATGCGCACCGCGCGCAAGCGCCACGCATTTTTTCCAAATTGGATGAAAGCCTTGCGCGTTGCCATTCCAATGTGTTTTACCACTGTCAAGCTACATTGCATCTTAAAAAACGCGCACCGCGCGCAGGCGCCACGCATTTTTCCAAGTTAGATAAAAGCCTTGCGCGTTGCCATTCCAATGCGTTTTACCGCTGTCAAGCTACATTGCATCTTAAAAACGCGCACCGCGCGCAGGCCGCGTGCGATTTTTGAAAGTTGGAGCTTCCAAAAGTAGCCCGACCCTCTCAGGTTTTTACGATTTTGACTTCCAAATGTGCACCGCGCGCAGGCCGCGTGCGATTTTTGAAAGTTGGAGCTTCCAAAAGTAGCCCGAGCATGTAGTGTTTTTACGATTTTGACTTCCAAATGTGCACCGCGCGCAGGCCGCGTGCGATTTTTTGCCAGCAATTCCGACCAAAGGCTCCGCACCCGCCGCTTTACCGAAGTAACTTCTGGGCCGTCTGGAGGCTCAAAACATTGAAAAATACAGCATTTCGCGACCTTTCTAACATTTCGCACACCATGCTTCATCTTTCTTCATCGCTTCTTCATCTTTCTTCATCGCTTCTTCATCTCTTCTTCTCTCTCTCTCTCTATCTCTCGCTCTGCACTGCTCTGCTTGAGTTGTCGATATTGTCGGAAGTTAGACTTCTAAACTTCCTTCGACAAAATCTGTTACACACTAATTGTGGCAGAAGCCATGAACAAACCCTATGCAAACCACACAATCAAGGAAGCCAGGGGCAACTCAAAGATAGAGTGGGCCCAGATCCTCATGGGTGTGCGTGTGCTATCGACAGGAGCAAGCCATGCTGATCAAAAGGTTGAGCGACACTTTTTTTGGAACTCCGGTGGGCCGTTGACAAGCCGTAGACAACCCGTAAAGCGGACATGAATTGCCATGTGACGGACATTTGTTGGGTGCACCTTTGGTTGCATCGATTGTTGTGGATGCTTTGCAGCCGTTGTTTCGCACTTGTTTTTGGTCCGCAGTTGGCCGCTAGTGCAAAAGGTAAAGTGACAGATTATAAAGGCACGAGGTTAGTATACGTGCATCAAGCGGGAGCTGCCCTACTGATACAGTTGTTGCAATGGTATACGAAGCATGCTACATAAATATACATAAATGATCATAACAGTGCTTTGCTCAGCCAATTGTGGCCGACATTTGGATTGAAAATGATGAAGCATGACAACCCTTCCCAAGCCATCAAGAAATAGCCTTTTCCCAAGAAGTGTACTTTGCTATCTCGGCCATTTAAGTAACGGACTTTGGAAGTCTATGCCTAAAGTGAAGGAAGCTAAGGAGTTCGTCTTCCCCGCAAACTGCTTGGTGCCTTGGAGGTAGAACTGCTGGGCACCCCTCAAAATATTGGCGAGCCCGGGCCCGGGCCCCCCCCATTTTATAATGAGGCTGGGCCCCCCTCATTTCATTGAGGTTGCACCGGGAGCTCGTACGACAATTAAATGGGGTAAGGCTAGCACAGGGCCCCCCCATTTTATAATGAAACCAAGCCTGGCCCCCCCCCAATTTATTTTGATTTTAAAATAAAATGAGGGGCCCAGGCGCACCTTGCACATCGACCGTCTATTTTATACCCATGTTAGAACCACAGAGTCAGATGCTCATTGCGGGGCTGGGCCAACCCTTAAGCATGTTCAAGCCACCATTGTCTACACAAGCCTCCTTCTGGTTTTCCCTTTTAAGGGGTGGCGTCAGGGTCTGGTTCTGCAAGCACATCGAACGGTTTCTTGGAATCATGTTGAATATTGTTGAACCATATGGGTATGGGTCAAAATTAAACCACCAGGGGACCGCAGGTTTTAGTCCATGTTTCCATTTGCCAGGGTTCCATTTTTGGTACCCATTTTGGGTACCCATTTTTGACAACCACAGCCATATGGCCCGAGATTTTTGGAGGGTACCCCTTTCGCATGTCTTCGTCAGGATCCCGAGGAGGATCGCATGGCCCGCCGCAGGCGCAGCAGGCGGGAGTCGGGGGGCAGAGAACTTGTGCAGCGGCAGCGGTTCCTCGATTGGTTTGGGTTTTGAAGACAGACCTTCCATTTGGTGAAATGAATATGTTTTATTTTCCCCTGTTGGTTTTAGCGGGAGTCTATCACTACTGGACATATTTTCATTTTTTCCAGGGGACTTGAGCAAATGGAAGAGACCCAAAAGGAAACCAGAGTTTCTGGCCTCCCCCAATTTTGAGACCACCTTCGTTGAGGGAGTTTCTTCCATGCCACCTTCGTTCAACACGTGCGGGGAGTCGTTCCCGTTTGGGCTTGAGGAGCCAAAGTGGCAGCAGGACCGGGCGCAAAGTCGCCAGACCAACTTCAGTTTGGCAAGCGACATGTCGTTTCTCTGATTTGGTGACTTGTCCAGAAGTGCTGGTGAAGATACCTCACAGTGAAGGCACCTTATGGACAGTTCCTAGAACGGCTGGTGAAGATACCGTACAGTGAAGGTACCTTACCTACCAGGTCCATTTTCCTTGCCTCAGGCTTAATCTACGAGATTCGTTGCTTCCTTCCCCCTTCTTGGCAAGGAGCAGAAGTCGCAGCCGCCGCAGCCGGAAGCCGCAGGCGCGCAACGCGCCGTGGAAACCCCGCGGCTGGTTCGAGTCTGACCGGAGACAAATTGATTCCTCCAGTTAGGTGGTTTCGTTTTGGTTTCCATTAAACAAGTCCAAAACGGGTGCCCCTATTTGAAGAACCCCTAATATGGTTAGGTGGTAAGGGAGCCGTTACGGAGCTGGTATCCAAATTTGTTAGGAGGGATCCTTGGGAGATACCGATCGGAGTTCTGTAAGAGCACGGTAGATTGACATCCCCAATTTCTTGAGAGACCTTTCTCAATGATTGGCAGGATCAACACGCCACTTTTTTCAGCCAGAAATGGATGCGGTCCTTGAGATTCCTTACTTGTCTTTGGCTGGACAACCAAAAGCTCATGTTTTGATTGTGACTCAGGAGACAATCACGGCTCCAGCAATTGGCAATTTTGCCAGGGCTGAGCTCGTGGTAACAGCTCAATCGAAACGTTGTGTTTTTTGTATGTGTAGGTGTATGGGCGCGCGTTTTTGTTTGTGTGCGTGTTTGTTCTTCTCCTTTTCTCCTCTCTCTCTCTCTCTCTTTGCGTGTCTGTGTGTATGTGTTTCTCACCTTCTCCCTCGACTCTTCCGTTGTGCAGGTCCTTGAGCCGCCGGCGCCAGTGGCAAGGTGGGCAGTGCCATTCTCTTTTGATTCTTATTGATTGTTTTTGGCTTGGCTCTTTTCTCACAATGCTGGCAACCAGGATCACGTTGAGGGTTGGCTCGTGGGGTTGGTCTCAAGCTTTGATTCCTAAAATTTGGCCTCAAGTGTGCCAGCACCCCCCCGCCCACCCACCCTCCCGCCTGCCCGACCGCCCGCCCGCCCGCCCGCACGCCCGCGCGCCCACCCACCCACCCACGAGCCCTACAACCTGATGCGGGCGCCTTGCTTCATAAAAGGCGTGCTTTCACTCTGCATAAACAATCCGCACGCACCAGAGTTGGAAGTCCTGGCTCATACACTGCTTGCCAATCAGCATCCATGCTGCTGGAAGAGAGCCGTGCCAGTGTGTGGAGTCTCAAATCATCCTGATCTTACCAATTTTTCTGTTTTGGACCTAACACAGTCAAGCTGGTCCTCCCATTTCAGGCCGGAAGTCGAAGACGCAGGCGGGCGCCGTGCTTTCGCATGGGCGCACGCATGGGCATGGGTTGGGGTGGGGAATGCTCCGCGCATTCGTCGGGCCAAGGTCAACGTCGGAAGCGTCCGGCAGAGGCTATGGACGACAAGGCACGAAAAGTACACCGGCGCAGTGGCCAGCAGCATCCTTCAATGGACGGCATTGGTCAAAGTTTGGTTCTAATCATTTATCGGTACCAGCTACGTTTTGCAAATAAGCTCAGGTGATATCCCCAACAGCATGTGGTACTCTTTTTAGTGCTCGCACCACCCCGCAGCCCTCGCAGAACCTCGTGGAACCCTCGTGGAACCCTGGTGATGGAAACCATCGTGGAACCTTACCTCAGGGCCGCCCGGACCACCCGGAGCCTATCTGGGCTGAGACCCCAAAGCTTTCAGCTCTTGGGGAAAAACAACTAGGGCAGTTTTCCAGCTTTCCTTTGTGCAGATTCGACAAGGCGCCGCGCCGGCCAGGCCCCCAGTGCTCCAGCGAGCCGGCCGAGCCGGGAAGAGAGCCAGGCGGGAGGAGGCAAAAGTTGTTGGCGACCTTTCTGCGCTGAGTGGAGCAGGTGCGTGTTTTCCGTGTTTGGAAGTTTTGCCCGTGTTTACAGATTTTGCGGGCCCTCCTCATAAGGGGGATTGAGGGTCCGGGCAGTCCTTGCTGGGGGGATGATTTGTGTGTTGCTGGGATATAGCACTTGCCTCCAGGATTTAGCTTTGGAGTTTGAGATTCCGAAGCCAGTGGGCCCGTTTTTTGCTCAGGGTTTTTCCGGCGAAAACGACAATCTTGCGCCGGACCTTCCCTCATATCTGAGCTTGAGGCACCGGTTGCGGTCATGCCTTGCTGTTGTGACCATCATCCTTTGCCCACCCCTGGATGCTTGGATCAGGAGAGACAGTAAACCCTACCCCTACCCCTCCCAAAGGTTCGCAGAATTCTACGAACGCCTCCCGCAAAGGTTTTGCGAGCCTTTCCTGGCTGGGCCCGGGGGGGGGGGGGGTGGTCGGGGAGAGCTTTGTTTGCTCAGGGCTCAGCCCAGCGCAGCTTTGCCAGGGCTCCGCAGTGCGACGAGCACCGAAGGGCAGGCGGCCCAGTGCAGATCGGAGCTCGCCTTTCTCTTTGACTTTGTTGTGACTGTGCCGCCAAACAGCACATTGTCTGTGTGTGTGTGTGTCTGGTGGATTTGTGTTGCGCTCTTTTGCTGTCATGCGGACTAGATGAGCCGCTTAGCCCGCTAATCAGGGCTTGAAGTGCATTGATCGATGAGAGGAATGCAGCCTGATGGGGGCCTGCACAGCAGAAAGCATGTCTTTGCCAAGCCTTTGTGGGTTGCTTCGATTGAAGCCCTTCAATCTTGCAAGCTAGAAACATGCACAACACCAAGGCCCCTCCATGCTTTCATCTTGGGTTCTCCCTTACAAAAGACGATCAAGGAAGGGCCTGATCTGACGAACACCCATTTGAACCTCGAGGTATCTTGGCGGACGTCCTTCGGGGTGACCTGCCCTCTTTCGTGCGAGCCTGCGACTCGCAGGACACGGGCAAAGGCGGATTTGGCGGACCCCGTGAGGCTTACAGTGCCACCCACCAACATGGATCCCAACAAGGATTCCTTTTGGAGGACACCCAGTCAGGCTCCATGTTCAGTGGTCAGAGGGTCACAACCAGAGAGACCAGAGGCCCTTCGGGGTTTTGCTGGCGGGAGATGAGCGTGCTTTCGGCCATCAGGGACATCAGGGGAAAAAAGATTGAGGTGAGCGTGCCACATGGATCATGGCAGAGCTTGTTAAGCGACTTGGGCAGGCCAGCATAGAGGTGGTATTCTGGAAATCATGGCAGGCTTGGGATCTAGCTCAAAGCAAGTGCACTTTCCATGCTTCCCAGGACCCAACCACACTGCTGGGCCATCCAGTAGTCACGCACTCAATAAATAGCGGATCCGAGTGAGCAGCGCCTAGATGACCCCTGGCCAGGTTGTCCGCCGGATTGACTCCCTGGTTTCATACATGAGCCTTCAAACACGCTCTTTCACTGCACACCTGTGATTGGACTGGTGTGATTCAGCTGCTAAGCTGCTGTCAGCTTCGTGAATTCCAGAGGCTCCCAACAGGCTCACCCAAAGCAAGCAAGACACCAATTGTGGACCCTTTTCAAGATGGGCACGTCGACAGTGGTATCCTACATCCGTGACTTGTTCGTTTGGATACTGCCTTGGTGTTGACCGTCAACACCCTTTCTTGGGGACCTTTGTTGCAGCCCTAACTGGAACGTGGCCATCACCAGGACAGTTCACTGGGTGCGTCGAAGCCAGTTGGACTTTTTTGGGACAGTTTGAATGGCAACGGGACTAAATCTTATTTTGTTTATTCTGGGCATGTTAGACCGCCAATGCACCCACTCGAGGCTTGTGACCACCATCCAACCCCGTGATCTGGGAGTCCTTTCCCAGCCTTATTTTGATTTGATGAAATATTTGGGCTGAGGGCTGAGGGTCCCCCCTCCCGGTTTGTTTAGGAAGGGAAGCCAAAGGGAAGCCCGGGATGCCAAGCGAGGCTTTGCGCCTGGGAATGGAGGATTTGAAGGAGGAGGCGGGATAGGGGCCAGAAGGGCTTGAGATCCGCTGGTCAGTCACGACTCCAAACATGAGGGGGATACCATGAATGGGTGGTTTCCTTTGCCTGGGCTTGAAAATAGCTTCACAGAGAAGCGGGGGTCAAGAACACTTGCACTCCATCTCCATTTCCTCCTTTCTTGTGCTTATCAACAGGCAATGAGCAAGGCCTGGCGAACCCCCTGTCTCTGGGAACTGGCTGGGGTTTTGTCCGTTTGTCAGGTCTGGGTCGCCCCAACGCCATCCAACGCCCATTTTGACACTTAGGAGACGAAGCTTTGTGTAGAGGTGGTTTCCAACTTCACGGGCAACTTTTCCGCAATTGTTTCCGCCACGCCCTGCTTTTGCTTGGGCATGCGAGAGCTGACCCGAGGACGACAGGGCGCAGCTTGACTTGGAGACCGGTGATCTAGTATGTATGTGTGTTTTGGTCAAACTCTGAGAACATGGACACACAAGGCAACAAAGATCTAAGCTAAACGCCGGAAGCGCATACAGTGGAAGGTGAAAGGTTATTTGACCTCAGCTCGTTTGGGCTCCCTTTTCTTATTCTATCTTGCCGTGACCTGTCCGCATCTCTTCTGATGTTCTAGCCTAGCTTTTGGACAATATGCCGGATTTGTTTGCTTGGTACTGTATGTCTCCAAATTAGTTTTAGTAACTTAAGGAGCATGCTTGAGTCAACCTTTTTGCGTGTCTTTTTGGTTGCTCGGCCCTGTGGAGACACATGGATGCCCTGGAGTTGAAGCAAACAGGGAGCGGCCACCGGAATGCCAACCAAGCGGAGACCCGTAGTCCTGAGTTTTGAGAGAAGAACCTTTTGGCCGTACATCGCCGTGGCAGTGCCAAGAGTGCCACAATAAAAGTCACGATACGCCGTTGGTTTGCGTTCGAGTTCGCATCATTTTATTGCCAGGCTATGCAGGCCAAAGATGCCGCGTGGCTGCCCCCACCAAAGTTCCAGGCGCGCATGTTGAAGTGTTTGTGCTTCCGCCTTTTTTTGGGCTGCTTGCAAGTTGGCGACGGAGGGACGCTTCGACGCCAGGTCCGTTTGGCCCTGCCGCAGGAGCCGTGACATCCCAGTCATGTAAAATAGGGAGGCATTTGTCGTCAAACGAGTTAGTTGTAGGAGGTAGAGCCATGGCAAGTTCATTGCCCTATCAGCGACGTTGTACGACATTCTGGGATTCTCAGATGTCAGTGATGGATGATTGGTTCCTTCAAATTGAGGCCAATGAACCTAACATATTTTGTTGATTGCTTGTGCTTGATTTGTTTGACTAGACAGGTATCTACAAATGGTGCGCCCGTAGCATCTGGCTTTGCGCCACGGCAGGAGGCCTTTGATTCGTCCGTAGTGCCTCCTCCAGACTGGAGCGTGCTGAAGACCATACAGTTGCTCGGCTGGCGTTGAGTGTTTGGAGGCTTCAAACGGGATGCATGGCTGCCCGATGTTGCCAGATGCCTGTGTGTGTTCCCTGTCGGAAGGCAGGGGTCACGACAAGCTTTGCATTCCTAAGGCAAGCCATTTCCCCGAAGTTGTTACCTCCTTTTTGCTGGGTCTCTCTCTCCCCCTCTCTCCCTCTCTCTCTCTCTCTCTCTCTCTCTCTCTCTCTCTCTCTCTCTCTCCCCCGCTCTCTCGCTCTTTCTCGCTCTCTGTGTCTTTGTCTCTGGCTTTCCAGCATGAAAGCACAATTCTGCCCGCTCTGCATTTCTTGACGGAAGAAGCGCAGCCTCTCGCTTTGTTGCTGGTTTGCACGTTGTCTCGCAGGTACTTAAACGATCAACGAAGCGGCCTCAAGGACAACTGCAGATGACAAAAGAGCAGTGTCCCCCACAAAGTCTTGCAATGCCCTCCTTGTCTGATGGCTACTGTCTAAAACCGCCCTTTAGGCGGAGAGAGGCTGCCCTGAGTTTGCTAATTAGACTGTCAAACAAACATTACTCCCCCTCCCTCCGTTTTGCACCGACGGCAAGTGCTAGCACTGGCAGGACTGCTGGAAGATGGAGGAGGCTCTTGGGGGCCAAGCTGGTTGACTCGCTTGTGTGGTTTGATGTGGCATGTGAGTTGTTTGTGTTTGTGCTAGCTAGAGATTGCTCACCATCGCGGCTAGGGTTAGCATACAAGGATTTGTGGTCCAGGTGCAGATGTGCGGAGCCAGAGTGCCAACAAAGTAAAGTTACGAGAAACAAAGCCGCAACGCAAATGGCTGAGAGGCCCACCCGGTGGCTTTGGCGAACACGTTCCCCGGCCAGGCGCCCACTGGGATCTCCCGCGCTCCGCTGGAGAACTGGCACGTGGTCTACCGGCTGGACGCTGGCCTATTGCTGGGGGGATATTTAGTTTGAATGGTCCAAGTTTTTTTTTTTTTTTTAAGCACATTATCTCAGATTCTGACTTCGGCCATTTTTTGACCATCTGGGATCATCTTGGGATCCAGATTCTCCACGTGCCTTGGACCAACCGGGCCTTCAGGGCCCGTCCCTTTTTGACGGGAGCCTGGTGTCCGCTGGACCGATGCCGTGTTCCTGCAAGATTTCTGCTTGTCACGCTGAGCTGTCAGGAGACAGTAGACTCGGAGTCGTGGCGGCCTCATTGTGCTGCTGCTCTAGCCTTGTTTGCTTCGTGCTGCTTGGAAGTACTCATTCTGGATGCTTGTGGCTGCCTGAACGTTTCTTTCAAAGTGGCACCAGCTCTGCTCGGAGTGCCCCAGAGAGAAGAGGCTTGGGCTACATCACAGCTGCCTTGCTTGTTCGCTGAGGCCAGAGGAGCAAGGTGACTTTGCATTGCCGCCCCTTGACCAAAAGATAAGCGGAGCTTTCCGTGTTTTGGTGGAGCGCCGTACAGCCGCCAGGAAGATGACCTGATCAGTATCATGACCCATTCAAGCGATGATGCCCATGATATCATTGAAATCCAGTCCCACGGCACTCATTTTTCATGCATGGGCCTTTTCACCTGGGTGTTGACACTGGATTCCGGTGAGCCCCAAATCCTGTACTTAGAGTGCTGGGCCGGACACGCCAAGCTCGCATTCTAACAACTTGTTGATCGGGGCTTGATGTCCGTTCTCCTTGCAATCTGTATGGTTTCCGCCAGTCTTGTAGAGGCAAGACTTGCTGACCCGCGATAATCCGGGAAGAGCTACCCAGTCAAACATTGTAGTGAGCAGAAGCGTTGCTTTGCTGCAAACGGAGTTATCATGTCGGACTCTGTTTTTTGAGAGACGTGCTGCTTGGGAACACTGGTTTCAGTGCATGCTTGGAATGCTGGGAGGTTCAGTGGGCAGCTGTGCATTTCTGTTGGTTCACGAGACCATGTAGGGGTTCTCTCCCCTTTGAGGGGGCCCCCTTGCAAAAAAGCCTTGGTTAGTGTTACTGAGGCGTAGTAAGGCTTAGTAAGGCCAAAGTTTGGACCATGTTTCAAGCAAGGCCCTGCTTATGGTCTCCTAGGAACCATGACCGACCCGGATTTCGACCATCGAACCTGAGGCCTGCGCTGGATGCAGACCTTTCCACCGCCTCCGCGGCATCTGAGCGGAGCCTGCACGGGGGCACAAGGTAGGGTTGAGCGTTTGCTCGAGGGGCTGGCTCTCAAGGGAAACCAACAGGACAGATGTCGTCTTGGGGGTCCACATACCCGGTTGGTTCCCCAAACGTCGCACCTGAATCAGGGTTTTTGAGTGATCAACAATGGTTTATGGTTTGTTCGCAACATGTAGGCCATTATTTTAATCAGCGTCTGAACTTTTCCTGGCATGAAGGGGGGTCACTCTTTGATCCTTTTTGGGTCTGGGCAAAGTCAGGAGATTGTGTGCTCAGACTTCCTTTCGCAGCCGTCGGAGAGCGATATTTTTCACAACCGCTTTTCGTGGTTGGTCTTGCGCGTATAGTATGGGATATATCGCAAGTCTCTTGCGCTGTCTCATTCACGCTTGCCCCAAGCGTCCTGTTTTTGCGTGCGCAACATCGCGACGCCACCTTTGCCGAGGTCGATGTTGCCGCCTTTGTCTCAGCCATCGTCACCTCGCTCCAAATCTGGCAGCCCTCGGCGTCTCTTGCCAGCAGTTGTGTCGGTCAAAGCCCCTTGCCCGGGATGCATGGGGTAGGCAAACATCATGAGATTTGAGGGTGCGCCTCACAAGGAGGTTTACCATGGCACACTGTTCTTTGATATGGTTGCACCTTCTGAGGCGACGAACATCTTCCTTGTTTCCTATTGTACAGCAACCCAGTAGGGTGGATCCTCTTTGAGTCGCCTACAAAGTTACTGCTCAGGGCTCCCACAACAGGAGATTCCTCCTCAAATGATGGTGGGTTCCATGTTACTCTGCAGTCAGCCATTCGGCAGGGACCCTGTTTTGGACGTGCAGCCTGGTTTTGGCAAAAGGAATCTCCTGCAGATTAGCACGGAACCAACCAGACCATCATTTTGAAAAAACTCCTTTTGGGGCACCCCTTCTTGAGAGCCTTCCGTCAAGCTTCACTGGACCAAAGCAAGAGGTTGTGTGGGACAAAAACAGTGTCCTCGCCCCTCCCTCCCTGTCAGCAAGCCAATGCAAAACACGCTGAACGGGGAAGCCAAGAAATCCGCTCGGAGGAAGAAGCCACCTGTGCACCCCGCGGCAGAGCCCTTGGCGCACGCCGCAGAGTCCCTGGATGAGCCCGCGCCAGAGCCCGGCCGTGGGCCCGAAGCGGCGGCGCGCAGCGGCTCGGAGAGATTTATTTATTGTCTTTGTGTGTGTATATTCTTCAAAGGGAGTCCTGAGCCATTTTGGGGGAACTCCCCGATTTTGCTGGCTTTCGAGAGGAAAAGTCTGAAGAGCTGAACAAAAGTGCTTTCTGAGCGGGAAATCTCAGGATTCCACCCTTGAGGACTGCTTCTGTGCAAGTTCCTGCGCATGCCACTGCCACATCCTGGTAGCTAAGGCGAGTGCGCATGCCCTTCTTGAGGACGGGATTTGGAACAAAATGTGGCAGTGTGTCATTTCAGCCGTGGCAGTGCATCATTCAGCCGATGTGAGTGTGCATGTATTAAATAGTGTGTGGAGTCTTGCCGGCGCCCCTGTTTGGACACAAGGCCATGACACGCACGGGGTTCAGAGTCAGCTGCAGGGCTCACCAAGCTTCATTGCCAGAGATCTTTATCAGTCACCGGCTCTGCAGTATAGCCGCAGCCATAGCTTCCGCGTTTGCTTTGGCGCTTTGCAGTCATGGCACTCAACCTGTTGCCGAGGTGTAGACACTCCAGGTGGCATGCGGCAAGTGGTGAGGCCAGCTTGCTAGAGCTTGCGGAAAGCTGGCCTATCTGCCTTGCAGGCAGTGCCTGGGCAAGGACAGCAGATGCCTCAGCTGCAACAAGCGTTCATCTGTGTGTGTGTGTGTGTGTGTGTGTGTGTGTGTGTGTGTGTGTGTGTGTGTGTGTGTGTGTGCGTGTGCGTGTGCGTGTGCGTGTGCGTGTGCGTGTGCGTGTGCGTGTGCGTGTGCGTGTGCGTGTGCGTGTGCGTGTGCGTGTGCGTGTGCGTGTGCGTGTGCGTGTGCGTGTGCGTGTGCGTGTGCGTGTGCGTGTGCGTGTGCGTGTGCGTGTGCGTGTGCGTGTGCGTGTGCGTGTGCGTGTGCGTGTGCGTGTGCGTGTGCGCGTGCGTGCGTCAAAACAGGGGGACCAGGAGGAACCAAAAGGAACCACGTATTTTTAGGGTTTGGCAACCGCCTGGGTTCCAACATATTTGAGGGGACCCTGCTTTTCCAACCTCTCCAGCCTTCTTATTTGGCCCCAACCCTTTGTTTGACCCAATCTTTTCACCTGGCTCCAACCCAAATTACAAGTGGCTGTGTGTTCTATCATGGTTCATGCAAGTGAAGTTCAGGATGCCCTGGTTGATATTGACACCCAAGTGGAACTGTTCCGAGCACCAAGAAAACCAAGAAAGACCTGACTTATAAATTCATCGGTTGAATTCTATTTGATCTCAGACCTATACACCACCCATGTGTTCAAATTTCCCCCAAAGGAAACCCCCGTTTGTTTGGGTGTTCTTGGGGTCGAACCGAAATGGAGCCAGGCCGAGCCGACGCCGTGGCCGACGCTCTTGAGCTTTTGGCGCTCCTGCGACCCCACGTGGAGGTGTTCCATGATGTTTCAAAGGGAGGAGCCGCATGGCAACCTGTCAGGCTTGTCTTTGTTTGGGCGCACCAAGGTTTTTGTGGTCGGAAAGCCCACCATCGAGGGGGATCCCCTACAAAAGGACACAAACATATGGGTGGTGATTTCTCATGGTTTTCTGTGGAGCTGGGAACGCCCCCGTTTTCCTCTTGGTCGTTTTGAAGGAATGCCTACGGGAAATCTGGCATTCTTGTGGCTTGCCCATGTAGAGACGAACCCGTATTTCCCCCTTTGCCTGTTTCGACATACTTTTTTTGTTTGCCAACTCAAGGGCGGTTCCTTTGGGGCGATGGTTCCACACTTGCAACTGGGCTTTGAACTACACCCTGCACCTGGTTGAAAGTTGTCGTCGGTGTTCCTGATTGATGGACCAGGCCACGGGCGGAGCAGTTTCCGCCAGGTGGACGCTGACGTGTGGCGCAACCCAAGATTGGACTGGCCTTGGCCTCGTGCTTTTTCCGGCTGCGAAGTGGAAAGGGCCATGGTTGTCTCATCCCCATTGTTAGGCTCTTGGGCAATTTGGTCCGAAGAGGTGGCACTCCGCCATGCTCGCATGTTAGCCCCCAGAAAATCGGCTTCGGGATCCATCGAACGGGGGGAGTCGCAGCCCAGGAAGCTGAGCCAGCAACTCGAGGACGGGCTAGGAAGGGCCTCATGGACCAAATGCGCGGACCGGTGAAACCGCCCATTTGCCTGAGCTTCGTTTAGGGATGGTCAGCCCCCCAATAGAATTTTAGAAAACTATTGTAAGGTTTGTATTAATCAAGGGAGCCATGGCAATGTCTCGCATATGGAGTTTTGACCACGGCACACATAGCTTTGCTGCCAGAAGGAAACCCAAAGCGCATCCACCTCTTGAGAGCATCCACCTCTTGCGGGTCTCGATTTAAAACATACCCTGATGCCCCGGTGGTGGAATTTAGGGACAGTTCCCCTTTTGTCCATCCATCTTTCTTTCTAACAGCACATTTCGAACCACCAGCGAAGGCTTGAACAGGGTTTTTCGGCGTGTCGGGGACCATGCCGGCAATTGCGCGGCAGTTCGGCTGCCGATTATTTTAAAAGGAGACTTCGAAGTGGCCAAGATCGAGCAACGCTCTTGCTGATGTGACCACCAGAAAGGATTTGTTTTGCCAGGAATGCCCGCGCATCTTTGGTTTTCCAAAAGACTCATGGTGTAGGAATAATCGAACTTCTTAGTTGGTTTGACACAAACACCATTTGTTTTTTTTGGCTCTCTCTCTCTCTCTCTGAGAAAACGGGGGGGGGGGGGGCCTCTTGGTCTGCCTTTGAATGCTAAGCTCCCAGGATCCCCTGAGCGTGTCCAGCGGCGCGTTGCCGCTCTGGGCCACCACGCGACTCGGCAAAATCCGACGGTTGACGGCGGCTCGGCGCGCGCTCGCGCCAGCGCTCACCGTGTCTGGTTGCTTCTTCTCGCATAGAACTCCGAGGCGTTTTTTTTTTTTTGGCAAATATCAGGCACCCCCTAATTGGTGGTTTTGGATTGGTGCTTTGGGGATTTGAACCCGTGCTGTAAAGTGCAAATGGGATTCCACCCCTGAACCACCAACTAGGGAAGCCGTGTTCTGGGCATGGATATGGGTGGCGTTCTGGGCAGGGTTGGAGACAAGAGCCGAGCCACGCAACTGAGCGATTGTCCTGTTCCTTCACAATGTCTCAGGTGAGCAAGAGAGAATTGCTGTGGAGAACAATGTGACAGGACAAGCACGTCAAATGCTTCTATCGTGTGTTGTAGAAAGCAAGTGTTGTTTCTTGAGCCGTCTTGTTTTGCACCTGGCAATACTTTGCCAGCACTGTATGGTTCGCTCTCTCGGGATCGCAACGCATCAGACTAGGACTCGAGCAGATCAGGGCCTAGAATCCCAAATCTCAGCAAGGCTTTGCTGCGCCGTTCCCTTATGCCCTTAGGCTGCCGCGGGCATGCCCCTTCCTGTTCAGCACCGTGGCCTGAAGTGGGGGGATGATTTTGGGAGCGTTTCTGTTGTTTAGGTGGGGGCTTCAATGGGAAGGTCAAGACCACGGTGGTCAATATAGCGGCTGTTGGTTTCGTTCGGTAACATGTGTGCGTGCGTCCGGGCGGGGGTGCGTGTCTTCATGTCGTAGATGCTGCCTAGCTTTCCTCGCTGGGCTTGCGATACTTTGTCCGATGGCCACGGTCGGAGGTTCGGCTGAGGTGCCATTGTTGTGTGAAAGGACTGGCAAGGGCAATGCAAGGCCAAGCCATCCACCAAAGCCTGCCCAGCCAACACAAACCAACACAAAGACCAAACACAAAGACCAAACACAAAGACCAAACACAAAGACCAAACACAAAGACCAAACACAAAGACCAAACACAGCCAGCCAAAGTTGAGCAAAGCCAAAGACCTAGCAGAGCTCATCGCTCTGGTGCCCTTTTGGGGCCCGCGAGGCAGTACCTCAGAATTAAATGGTTTCCTCTTGAAGCTTTGCTCTTTTTCTCTCTTTTTTTTTGTTTTTCGGGGGGGGGGGGGGGCAAATTCAACATCATTTGTTTGGGCCATTGTAAGTATAGTTTCCTTTGTTTGGGAGAAATTTAAAGGGGACATCAATACGTGTCTTCTTTAAATTGATAGGAAACTAAACAGAAACCACCCACCTGCTGGAGGGGTCCCTAATTTTGAGACATAACACATTGTTACGGGGCATGGGAGGGGTGCGGGAAGGGGTGCGCGGGAAGGAGTGGGGTGTCTGGGAAGGGGTGTGGGGGCCTTAAAGAGTTAATCTTCTTCCTCTCAATAAAGGTTTCCCTATGTAAAACTCCGGCTGACCCCAACAATTGCCAACACCTAGTTTAGATGATCCAATACTAAAACAACACACAACTCTCCAGACACCAGACGAACTCAGCCAAGCTCCCCAGTGCTTATTGGGGGGGCCACCCTGGCAATGATCAATAGGGCTGCATTGTGAGCGGCTTTTATTATTGGGGTCTCCATTGGGTGCAAAGGGCCCCCCTTTCCGATGTGCCCAGCGCTAAACAACGCAGTATGAAACAGTTCCGGCCAACAACCAGGAAATCCTGAAAAAAAAACACACCAATAACAACACCAACAGGGGGATGGTTTATTATTGGGGGGAACGGACTGCTGTTACTAGTAGAGGCCAATATGCCTAAACAACAATGACCCCGTTCCAAGGGGCTCTTTTTGAGACAGGCCCCTTGACCATTGGCTTCCACTCGGTTTCCCCAGACCATCCGTCCTTAGCCTTTTTTGTGCCCGCCTTTGAGAGGCCACGAGGAACAAAACCCTTCGCCACAGACCCCTTGCCGGCTTGAGCGAAGGTTTGCGGGCCCGGAAGACGCTGCTGCGGTACACCGCCTTCGGGCCCTCGCTGGCGGTGCACTGGGCGCAGGAGAGCAAGGCAAGCGGGGGGTTCGCCATAGGAATCGGTTCAACATGGCAACAAATCCCCGCAAAATCCCAACCAAAGGCCTACAATGGCAACAGCTCTGAAGTGGTTTCCCCACTAAATACCAAAAGGGTTCCCCCAAAATGGATTAACATGGCTACGGTTTCTATTTGGTTTCCCCTTTAAGAACCAGCAAGGGGGTCCGTACCTCGTGTGCTTCTTTGAGGCTCGGTACCCTTTGCCACCTTGGTAAGAGAGACAAAAGCAAACCACTTTGTCATTATGGGACCCAAACCTCAACATTCTTCAGTTTTTTTGGCACAAAGGGAAAAGCCACCGGCTTTTTGTGATGGGACTTCGTTGAACGTGAGCCACCCGCAGGATTGGTGAGTTGTAGTTTATTTTTGCTTGCTTGACAAGGGGGAGGGGACCACATTTTACCATGTTTATTGGGGGAAGCAAGTAGTTTGTGCAGGCCTCACATGGTTTGTAGTATTCTGACGGCACCCTTTTTTGGGGTTGTGGCAAAGGGAAACCAGACGATATTACACCTTTTTGCCTGCTCTCATTTGGAGACAATCGCACGCTGTTTCTACTTTAGGGTTTCCCAAACATAGGCTAGGATCCAAACATATTCATTCTTCGCGGGCAAAAGCTGGTATGGGAGATGCTTCAAGTTTGAGTTTCTTGGCGGTTTCGGAGAATTCTCCCCCTAGATTGGAGGGTAGTGAACCCGAGGGACCGATTCCTGGAATGCATGGCTTGTGTTAGTCCTTCCAGCGGATTGTTTTGGGCTGGAGCTGAGAATCCGGAAAAGCCTCAGAGCCCGAAAGCTCCCGTTGCAAGTGGCAGGTGGGGCCATACCTGTGGCTTGTCTGCAGGTTATCTTTCGCCATGCTTTTGCCGATCCGCAGCGACTCTACACATATGTATACACATCTATGTATTTATATATATATATATATATTTCCGAAATACGAATCTGAACCAACAAAGGGGCAATTGCGGAATATGCCATTGAGCTAAGGACAATGTGATGTGCAAAAGTATGGAGGGCCAGCATGCGGGCAGTCAGATGGCGTTTCTCCGAAGGACTTGTTGTTATCATTGTGGCTCAGTGGGGTGTGCTGTCACGCAGGCCAGAAACCAGCCAGAGTTTGGACGCGGCATCCCAGGCAGCGCCGGCAGTCGCTACCAACGGAGCTCGGATCCCAGGGAGATCCTCGGAAAATCGAGGAGCTTCCCTGGGCGCATGGTGTGGTGCCTGCTTGCCAGAGATCACGTGGTTTGTATCTATGCGTGTATAAGATTCCAATGAGATCCGGGTATGGGTCAAACATAAATTATTAGGGGACCGCAGGTTTTAGTCTTGGGCTCCATTTACCATGGTTCCATTTTGGGTACTCATTTTTGACAACCGCAGCCATCCGGAACAGACAGTTGCTGCAATGCTGAAGCCAAGTTCGCCAGGAGCTCTTGCAGGAGGTGTCCAACATTGAGGTGCAGCACAAAGTGCGGTCGATGGGCCTTGAAAGCTTGGGTGTTGTTGAGTCACAACCTGGTGCAAGCCAGCATGCTGGCAGCTAGATGCAGTTTTGACGTGGTGGAGAATCAACAAAACTTGTTGGACAGGGGCAACAAGTAAATGGCAATTTTCTAGCCGGGGAGCTGTTGCTGGTGCCTAAATCAAGTCACAGAAGGTGCTGGGCCAAGCATACTTCAATATGATGCGTCAAGTGGATGAACAAACGGTTCAATGTTGCTTGTTGCGGTTATCCGAGGGACTACCTAAACGTTGGCGATGAGGGCTTTTTTTGGCCTTGGGACATGCAAGCAACGGACAGTGGGGTGTAGGCCTCGGTCGTTGATCGTCCCCTATCCGTCTCTTGCAGACATACTGTCATTCATGTGATGATCGCCTCATTCCGTCAGACGCGGGCCGCAGGATCATGTGGTGAGGTCTGACTTCTGGCTTGGTGCCCTACAGAGTACGCTGCTTCGCTTGCAGCGGTCAGGCCGATGGCCGGAGAGGATGGGGGCAGGAGAAGCAGGATTAGGTCAGCAAGGCAACGGTTTGTCCGAATGCCCTGAAGCAACGATCATTCCCTTCTTGGTGATATCTGAGTTTGAGTGACTAAGATGTGTATATATATATATATATATATAGTAGATATGTAACGTGCCGCAACAAGCATGTTTTTCCTCGTGGAACGACTGGATGGTGCTGGCCAGGGACCTATCCATGCCGTGCAAACGTACCTGCAGATTGCTATTGCTGGGCTTTTGCGCTTGATTTCTCCCCTTGGAAGGTAAGTGCAGCTGAGTGAAATCGAGTTGAAGCCGAGTGAAGCTTGGCCATACACTTCGTTGCGTCGCAATCAGACGAAGATGAGCCTCAACCCAATGAACCAGAACTTGGGCTCACACAGACACGTAAGTATATTTATATATATATATATATATACACATCATATATATATATATATGTATATATATATATGTATATATATATATATACACGCTATATGCATGAACATACGCAATTGGGCCAAGCAACGCGCACGTGCTTTTTTTGGTTGTGTTCAGTTTTGGCGGTGATCAGCACGACCTCACCGGGTGAAACAACCGATACTCATGAAGGTTTCTCTTGGGGATCCCCTGTCTCAGGCCTTTTTTGTCTCTCTTCGGAATGAGTGCTTGCATGTGTCACACTGGCGGGGGGGGGGGGTGGCCCTGTTTCCTTTTCAACAAATCCAATCAGTCCGGATGCTGTGACCCTTGTGGGTCCAAGGGTCTTGCAACTGACGGCTCATTTTTCGCAGCGCTTTGCCTTGGAACGGAATCGCCCTTGCTTTTGGGCGACACCCCACCGATTTGTCCCAATGTTCTCAGCCGTCAGGGCAGCCGGAGAAGTCCGGGCGTGAGAGGATCTGTGAGGCCCTGCCCACAGATTCGTATCCATCTCTGCACTTGCGTCAAAGCATCTTCCCCCTTTCTCTGGCCTTGCCTCTCACCCGCATTTTGCTTCCCAGTTTAGGCCAATACGAGTGGCCACGTCCTGATTCGTGGATAGGGTACCTACCAAGATGTGCGGGGCATCCCTTTCAAAGAGAACGGCCCATAAGCCCCGTGAGTCCGTTGGAAAGCGCCGTAAGGCCAACGAGCTGTCCGAAGAGCAAGCAGAAGAGATGCTTTTGCAGCAGGCCGGTGTTCAGGGCAAGGCTTCAAGGCAGAGACGTGTCCAAACTCTCCGAAAATCGGCCCAGATTGGTCATACCGTATTGGATGGACCCCAAAACATTGACCGAGGCGACGCCACGCAATGAGACAATGCTGCACTGGCCTTGCTGGGGCCGACAGGGCTAAGCAACACCCCGGACTTCTTGAAGCATTGGACTGCATATAAGCAGCTTGAGGAGAACAGCATGCTTTCATCATTTGGACTGTCATGTTGCACCCAGCGCGGACGCGATCTGGAAGTCACGCTTTCCTGTCGCACTGTCATGTTGCTCTTTGCAGATGATACCAGATGTCGCAAAGCCCTGGTGAAGTTCAGCCAAATCGACAACACACACATATTTTTTTGGGAAAGGCAATGAATCCTAGGCCCCGACATTTCGCCAGCCTTCGCGGCAGATGATATGGGATTCAACCTTATTTTCCCAACTTAGCCACTCTTAGGCCGTCGACTCGGCAACCTTTCCGGTAGCTCTAACTGAAGCCTGAAGCAAAGGAAGCCTGTGTGATTTGGCAAAGTTTGGGTCTCAAGTTCCTGTTCGATGTGCGGGTTGCCGCACGTTTGTCGTGTTCCAAGATAAGGGCGGACCTGTCGTGAAACTTGCGCAGCCAAAAACCTCAATGTAGCCGCGAGGCACCTTTTTGCGGGACCTTTGCTTGCGTTGGCGCATTCAGACAGTTTGTGATCCAACACGGCGACTTTGGATTATTGCGCATGGTTTGAATTTGTGGTTCCGTGGCTAGGCTTGGTCCCCCCCCCGCAGCCTGTTCATCTAGCTGTGGAGGTACTCCCCCTTGTTTCATACGCCTACCAGATTTCTACCCGGCTTGGGCAATAGAAACCAATCGTTTGGGAAGAGGATGTATGAACCAATAGGTATGGGCCAAAGTTAAACCACAGGGTTTAGTCCTTGGTTCCACGTACCAAAATGTCCATTTTCGGTACCTATTGTTGACCGGTTCCAAGGGGCACCCGAGCGAAGCTGAACGACACAGGCAGAGGCAGCCATGGAGCTGACAGCAAGCTCGCACCGAATGCTGGAGGCCTGCTCGAGCCACGCCTATCGTTTCTTCGTCTTGTGACCCCCAAACACCCCCTCCCCCAGCTTTCCCCCAGAGGCCTGCTGAGGGTCTCATTTTGGGGGCAAACCAGGGGTTAGGGGAGGGCGGGTTGGACCCTGTGCTGTGGAGCCGCCAGCAAGGGCTCGACGGCTCGGATTGGTCTTGGAGCTAGGCCCAAGCTCCGAGATTGCCCCTGTGACCAGCCGTTCAGCTTCTCAGTTCGCCTTAAGCTTGGCCCATGAATCGATTACTCGCTCTTCGAATTAGGGAATTCTTGCCATTGTTGAACGGTCAGCGGAGTCCTCATGCAAAAACGGCCGCACAATTTGTGGATGTCACCAGCTTCTCTGCAGACGCTTGGCTTAAAGCATTTCGCAATTCGCTCTCGAGGGACCAAGAGTAGACCTCAAGCTGCAGCAGTAGTCGTTTCCTTTTCGGAGCCAGCTGAGTCTTCAAGAACAAGGAGCCACAGGGCCATGCCACCCTTCCAGCCTTTTCCCCAAGGCTACCTTTGACGCTGTTGTGTTGTAGGCTCCAAGGTGCCCGTGGGACGAGAGTGAGGGACTGGGAGGCAGTGGGTGGTGTTGAGGGAGTGGACTGGGTGCTGGGTGGGTCGTTCTCAGGAGGTGGATGGCAGGAGCGATGTGGGTTTCCGACATGGCCGACGTGCTTTTGCATTTCCTTTGGTGCATATTATATTGTATTGCATTGCAATTGTGATCGTATTTGTAATTGAATTGGTATTGTATTGCATTACATTGCATTTCATTTCATTACATTACAATATATTTGTGTGCGCGTGTGCGTGCGCGTGGGTGGGGCAATGATAAATGAATGGGAGAAATGTATAGCGGTGGCGGGCTGGGAAGGATGATTCTTACAGGTGGGGATGAAGGGGGTACGATCATTCGGGGTGGAATGAATTGTGGATGGGGGGACAGGGAGGGAGCGATGAGTTGCTGGAAATTGGCCCAGCGTAGCCCCCCCCCCCCATTTGATGCTTGTTCAAAACCTGCGTGACCGAGGCATGTAGGAGTGTGTCTCTCCAAACTCTGAATTTAGATCCCTGGATCCAAGACTGTTTTTGGGGCAAATCTGGGATCCAGTATCCCAGTCGAAATCCGGCGATCTAGACATCTCAATAGCGAAGCTAGATCCCAGAGAGGCATGCCTGGAACCCAGATTCGGGCATTTCTCCAATGGTATTCCCAAATTGCTGGGATTCAGTAGGCCAGGACTTGTTGGCCCAAGATTCCCCTGGCCTCGTTTTTTTGGGAAATACGTGGATCCTTGAGGCAGGCAAAAGACACAGACATACCATAGCCCTAGATCCAGGCAACACCAAAAGGATGGATTCAACATCTAGGACAATCCTGGCAATTTAGATATGCACCCCATGGATCCAAGAAGAACATCCATATACTTGCCATCAAGGAGCATGAAACTGGGTGTCCTAGAGGCGTGGGGGTATCGTTGCAAGGGGGGCATAGTGGATGAGGGGGAGTCATAATGAGACTATAGTGATAATTGGAGGGCTGCTATGAGGGCATCACAAATTGATTGTCAAGATTTGCGAGGGCTGTTATGGTCGGGAGAGCCTGGATGGTTTGGATGGTCGGTATGTTAGCATTGTTCGGGACGGTTGGGACGATCGAGACGGTTGGCCGAGTTCAAATAAAGAGCAGAGTGTTGTCTAATCAATGTGTCTATCAAAACACAACAAGAATAACTACTGTTGTTTTTTTCAAATTGAAGCGTCTGAACTCAACATATCCGGGTTTGTCCACTAGGCACAGCATTTTGTTTTCACACTAAAACTCAAAACACAATGTCTGATACAGATTTGTGCGATCCAGATGAAACATGGATTGCTAGGTTGGATAAGGAATCAAAAGATAAATATCATGAACATGTTAAAACACAAACACACACACACACACACACACACACACGCACAACAAAAAACAAAACAACAACAACGTGAGATACATGTAAATGTTTAAAGACAAGGTCAACAATGAAAGCAACACTGTCAATGAATGTATACGACTTAGAATTTAAAATACAATCCATCTACATTTATCATCAGCAGAATCATGTTGATATTGATTTTGTTGTTTATTTTGGTTATCATCATTTGACTTTAACAGGATTTAAGTTTGTTTATTTTTCCACTAAACCCGTTATCATTATTATTACTTATGTGTTGCTTTCTTGTATGATTACTGTATTATTATCAACATGTTTAGGTGATGTTATAACACCAGCAATGTATTCACTTGAGGTTCTTTTTCCCTCCACACATGTGTAAATTTTGTATTTTGAATTTTTGAGCAAATGGATAGCCTTCCGAACAACTGGCTGGTATTTGGCATGGAATATATAATGTAAGAATGATTGTGTATTTTTAAACAATGCTTCTACCATACTTGGTGTATCTCTCATAACCTTTTTTAGTATATGAATCAATATCTACGGTCGGGATGGTTGGGATGCTTTGCTGCAAAATGACGGCGCAGTAAGTCTGCGGAATTTGACACCAACCAAAATCGGAGGGGTGGAAATGAGTGGGGGTGAACAGACATGAACGGAGATCCTTGCAAACCATGGGATGGGGTAAGGGGCAGGAAGGCATCAAGAGAATCATGAGCATATACAGGCATCTGGAAACACAGGCAATGTTGCAGAAATCTTAGCCAACTATGATAACTATGTACTGGGGTGGGCAGGTGAGAAAAGAGTCATTGGGTGCACGCACACACACACACACAGGGCGGTGCATAGGCAGCATAGGGATGGCATAGGGTGAGGAGAAAGGGGTTTTGAACAAACATGCTTGCAGTGAGTGCGAAGTTAGCGGAGACAGCCGGGCATGGCAGGGGACACGAAACGGGTTGGGATCCTGAACGGACATTGTTGTCACTCCCAGTTCTTCCGACAGCGACTCGAGTCGGGGGGGGAAACAGTGGAATCATGAACTGACCAGTGGCGTTTCTGACAAAAGTCGGAATGGGTGGGTGGCTGATCTTGGCGCTTTTCGTTTTCTTTTGGATCCAGCCCTTCGTTTTTACTTCCCGGCCCTCCCGGGCTTTTAGCATCCCGCGCATGGCGCGTGCAATGGACCTGGCTGCCGTGGCCGACCTCCTCAAGAGCGGGCGCTGCAAGGTGTCGTCGCGCAGCTTTTTCATGGAACATCACCCCTCCAAAAGGCAAATTTGCATGGCCTTCGCCAAACGGGAATGCGTAAAGTCAGTCAGCAAAAGGAGAAGTATATGCTTGGGCTTCCTGTCAGTCTTTTGGTTGGCGGCAAGTGGTCAGTCAGGGCGCAAGAGCGCGAAGCTGGTGAAGTGTGTGTTTGTGGTTGCGTTCCCGAACTTGTTTGCGTATATATATATATATATATTATATCTTAAACACATGTTTGTTTGTTTGTTTGTTTGTTTGTTTGTTTGTTTGTTTGTTTGTTTGTTTGTTTGTTTGTTTGTTTGCTTCTCGGTTTGCCCCGGTCGCAATCCGAGGTTTCTCACGGGCGCCGGGGTCTCCACCGGCGCGGGGATCCCCGACTTCCGTTCCCCGGGGGGGATGTACGACACGCTGAAGCCGGAGCTGCTGACGGCCACGGAGGGCCAGCGAAGCCGGATGCGCCGGGACCCCGTCCACGTGGTGATGAAGGCGAGTGAAAAGCGGGCTGGGGAGACCGGGGAGACCGGGGAGACCGGGGAGACCGGGGAGACCGGGGAGGGAGACCGGGGAGGGAGACCGGGGAGGGAGACCGGGGAGGGAGACCGGGGAGGGAGACCGGGGAGGGAGACGGGGAGGGAGAGAGGAGACCGGAGAGAGGGAGACCGCTGGGAGGGAGACCGGGGAGGGAGACCGGGGAGGGAGACCGAAGGGATGACCGACCGGGGAGGGAGACCGGGGAGGGAGACCGGGAGGGAGACCGGGGAGGGAGACCGGGGAGGGAGACCGGAGGGGAGGGAGACCCCGGGGGAGGGAGACCGGAGACCGGGGAGGGAGACCGTGGAGACCGTGAGATGGGAGGGAGAAGGGGACCGATGGGAGACCCGGGCTGGGGAGACCGGGAGACCGGGGAGGGAGACCGGGGAGACCGGGGAGACCGGGGAGGGAGACCGGGGAGGGAGACCGGGGAGGGAGACCGGGGAGGGAGACCGGGGAGGGAGACCGGGGAGGGAGACCGGGGAGGGAGACCGGGGGAAGACCGGGGAGGGAGACGGAGACGGGAGAGGGGAGGGAGACCGGGGAGGGAGACCGGGGAGGGAGACCGGGGAGGGAGGGACCGGAGAGGGGGAGGGAGGAGACCGGGAGGGGAGACCGGAGAGGGAGGGAGACCACCGGGAGGGAGACCGGGGAGGGAGACCGGGGGAGGGGGGGGAGGGAGACCGGGGAGGGAGACCGGGAGACCGGGGAGGGAGACCGGGGAGGGAGACCGGGGAGGGAGACCGGGGAGGGAGACCGGGGAGGGAGACCGGGGAGGGAGACCGGGGAGGGAGACCGGGGAGGGAGACCGGGGAGGGAGACCGGGGAGGGAGACCGGGGAGGGAGACCGGGGAGACCGATGCTTCCCCTGGCGGCTTTCAGAAGGTGAGGCGAGTTTCCTTTTGGAGCATACATGGCTAATACATGGGGCCCCTGTTGCAAGCCCCATCACAACCCACCAATCCAGCAAACTGAGAATCAGTTTGCCAAGCATCATGTGAACTGGGCAACCGACGACAGTCAGCGCCAATTAGGCATGACAAGAAAGCAATAAAAGGCAGCCGCGGGGCGGTGGGGATTCGCTTCCGACCTATTATAGGACATGTTCTTCCAGAACCAGTTCCCCTACATGGAGGTCAGGAGGCCTTTTATCCTGGGCACGGAAAAGGCTCAGTGGAAGCCCACTTTGTCCCACTGGTTCATGAAGTTCTGCGAGGAGGAGAGGCTGTTGGAGCGGGTCTTCACTCAGAACATCGACGGCTTGGACTTCCACACGGGCATCTCCCCAGCGCACGTCACGGCGGTCCACGGGAGCATCGCACAGGTGAGATGCGAGGGCTGTGAGGCGGCCATGCCTTTTCAGGCATTCTGCGATCAAGTCCGTTCGAATATCAAAGACATCTACAACATCGACCCCACAGCTCCAAAGGAGTCGACCCCAATTTCGTGTCCGAAGTGCTCCAAACCTCTTGTCAAGCCAAGCACCGTTTTATTTGGCAGCAGCCTTCCAGAAGAGAAGCTAACCGCAATAGCAGCTTGTAGCTGGTGTTTTCTCTTCTGTGCGTGTGTTTATTATTGCCTCAAGTCTTTGTTCCACCGCAGCTGGGTGAGGTTCTTCGACAAGTTGGGGGAGTTGGAGACAACTAATCTGTTGATTGTCGCTGGGACTTCCTTGGTGGTGAGTCCTGCGAATTGCGTGGTGCAATATGTTCCTTCCGACTGCCTGCGCTTGATCGTCAACCGCGAGCCCGTGGGCCAAGACCTGGGCCTCCGCTATGGGCCTGACGCTGGCCGCGACGTATGGCCGGGCGAGAAGTCCTGCGACGAAGTCTTTCTGGATCTTATAAAGCTGCTGGGTTGGCAGAGCAAGGTCGTAAAGATCAAGCACTTGCTACCCGAGGGAAACCAAGATCTTGTCAAGGACCTGGAGTAAACTGCGAATGTCTTGGAGACTTGGCTGCTGCGAAAAATACGCGCAGCACAAGGCGAGCAGAGAAATGAAGGCGACGCCAGCCAGCGGGTGGTACAGGACTTCCTGTTTGCCGGGCTGGCCTCGTTGCTCGTACTGGTAGCAAAAGATGCGGCAGCCACAAGGGCTTCTGGTTTGCAAATTGGTATGCCCGATCTTAGGCTGGTTTTGATCTTGCATCCCTTGCAATGCAGAGGGTTCCAGCGCTCGAGCTAGCCTATTTGAAAGCCTAGCGCAGGTCACCGAGCATGCAGCTGCCAGGTCCAGTTCGACAGTGAGACAGGCTTCGGAAGTGCGGTGACGCGGTCATTTTACGCCGAGGCCGGTCTGTCAGTTGGTCACATGTTGGTGGCCAGATGTTTGGCAAGGGTCTATCTGCCAGGCTGCCTAGCAAAAACGGGACTGACTGGATGACGATGCTGATTTGAGCGCTGAGCATGATCTCGTAGCATAGATCAGGCAAAGCCACAACGTCCGTCAGTGGGGGGACAATTCTCTGGAACGACCCTCAGCATCGGAGGTTTCAAACAACGCATTGTCTCACGCCAGGTTGCAAGATCTTTGCAGAGTAGGGGCGCAAATTGTCGCGTGCCAATGTGGGTGGAGGACTGGTGCCAGGTTTGAGGGCATTCACCCAAAACAAGATGCTTGCCGCATGTCCCATGTGCATCAGCAGGTTGCCTAGGTAGCTCATAAATATGGTCACAGGATGCTCAGTTTCAAGGGTAATTCGGTCCAATGAGCTGATGGATTCTCCGGAACCTCAACAGGTGGCAACTCAACAAGTGGTCGCAGGGGCCCTGCTTGTAGCACTTGCCCGCAGCACGCAGCTGGGTCAGTCATCACCGCTGTTTGGGAGGACGACTCTTTGGGCGGCGCGGGAGGAGGCTTGGCCTGTTGCTATGAGGAAGGTGTCAGATGCAGTTGTTTGAATGGTACACCCATAGTGCACGCGGCTGCATGCTTGTCGGTTGGATGCATTCTTGGGCCACGTTTAATGAGAAACTCGGTACGTGCTTCTTTATGTTCTCAGAATTTGTGGGTGCGCTGGACTGCTATCTCCGTGTATACGCATGGTTTTGCAATACTCAGTGCATCAGTGAGTCAGTGAGTCAGTGAGTCAGTGAGAGCGTCAGTGAGTCACTGACTCTGACTCACTGAGTCTGTGAGTCGGTCAGTGAGTCAGAGAGTCAGTGAGTGAGTCAATGAGTCAGTGAGTCGGTCAGTGAGTCAGTGCGTCAGTGAGTCAGTTAGTGAACGAGTCAATAAGTCAGCGAGTGTCAGCGAGTGTCAGCGAGTGTCAGCGAGTGTCAGCGAGTGTCAGCGAGTGTCAGCGAGTGTCAGCGAGTGTCAGCGAGTGTCAGCGAGTGTCAGCGAGTGTCAGCGAGTGTCAGCGAGTGTCAGCGAGTCAATAAGTCAGCGAGTGTCAGCGAGTGTCAGCGAGTGTCAGCGAGTGTCAGCGAGTCAATAAGTCAGCGAGTGTCAGCGAGTGTCAGCGAGTCAATAAGTCAGCGAGTGTCAGCGAGTGTCAGCGAGTCAATAAGCCAGCGAGTGTCAGCGAGTGTCAGCGAGTGTCAGCGAGTCAATAAGTCAGCGAGTGTCGAGTGTCAGCGAGTGTCAGCGAGTGTCAGCGAGTGTCAGCGAGCTAGTGACGTCCGTTGCGTTTTGTGCGGTTGCTTCGCAGCTGCCTTGGCTGCGTGCTCAGCCTGAGCGTGTGCGCAGGCGGACACCTGCGCTGTCGGAGCGGGCTTTGGGTGCGCCCCTTGCCTTTGGGCCCTGCTCGGGAGGCGGAGGGCCGGGGTGGGTGGAGAGTGGGTGGAAGGGGTTGGCCATGGCATGGGCGGTGGTTTTCTTTGAGCCGGAATGAGCCTCACAGATGAGCAAGGCTCACCTGCCTGTACAAAACTAGACGACGCCACCCCGTTGCCAGAATCAAGTAGGGTTGAATCCCCGACCACCAGGACATTTCTGCTGGAAATCAGCATATAGTGTCCAACGGGGTTGGTGACTCAGTGTTGGTGTTTTGAATTGAACACAGAGCCAAATATGTTGAGTGTGTTCTCCTCTTTTAAACATATTTATCTCATGCCATTTTTCGGTAAAAAGGAAGACAGGACCCATGCAACCAGAAGAGAGACGGAAGCCGGGGCACCCATCCGCAACCTCGACCTCGCGCCAGGATGCCGAGCAGCGCTTCCGCTTCCTTGGGCGCCTGGTGGGGCGAGCGCTGAAGGATGGCTTCATCGTGCCACTGCCTCTTGGGGAGGCAGTTGGGCACAGTTGAGCCAGTCCCTGGCCCCTTGAGGAGCTTTGAACATAGGTCCAACCTTGGCTTTCAAGGACGAGCACAGGGGATGGCCTCTGGCTTCCATGCGCCTGCCAGAATCGGATGTCGGGAAACTGGGTGGATCCAGCTCTGACCGGTCGGCTGATGTTGCTTTTGTCGCAGAACTTAAGAGGGAGACACACGTGAAATCCAACAATCCAGCTGAGCTGCAGACAGTCGCACCAATGCGGGAGAGCCTTTGCGGCAGGCATTCTTCGCGCGGGCTCTACTGGCACAACCACCGCCGCGTCCCTTTGAACGCCCTGCGCGTGGAGCGTTCGCGGCTCTCCCCAGGCTCGGGCGGGTACTTCTGCCTCAGAATTGCGGGCTCCCACAGGTTTGCTGTTTTTGCTTTTTGGGAGGGCTAAGGTACGTCCTCGAAACCACCAAATAGGGTGGCCTTTGTTCTGATTTCCGGTCATGTTTCATTTCCGGTGTTTGCGAAGCATAAAGCCACTCAGCAATCGGCAGCCATATTTTACGGGCTGCCCTGAGAAAGATCTCGCATAGAATTAGACCATGCCAACTCTAGGACCTCAAGTATTGTTTGGTGACCTGCGAAAGTACGCACACCCCACAACTTCCCACCTTGATTGGGCCGATCGACAACCTGACCTTTTTTGCTCGAAGAAGTCTGCCAAGAAAGTGATGTATGCGCACTGGCTGGGTGTCTGCCAAAAGAGTGAGCACCGTCCCAAAACGTTCTCCTGCTGGTGCACAGGGCCCCCGCCACTTTTCTCACTGGGCCTTTCCGCAGGCCTGGGGCAGGCTGTGCCGCGGCCTTGGCGAAGCCGAGGGAGTCAGCGGCCGGACCTTTGGAAGGATCTTTGGCCTTGGCGTTTTGCATTTCAATCACGACGAGTTGTCAACATTGCACGGAGGTTTACTGGGGGCCGCACTGGGCAACGAATTGCCCTGCATTCACAGACATGGTACGGCCTGGTCTTATTCCATTGGGACCGAGATGAACCGTTCTCACAAGTATATGACAGAGCGTAGCAAAGCCATATGGGTCCTTCCCGGTCGTATCTTAATGCTTGGGTGGCTGAGGGTGTCTTGGCTGGTGGGCCTTGGGTTAATGTTCAGCCCTGATGACGCGCCCCCTAATGGATTCATCAGAAAGGTCCCTTTTCAGTGCAATTCCCTTCTTTGCGCAGGACCCTTCTGTTTGTACACCAGCAATCACACGTCTTCAGGGTCAATAGCATTTGCTATGAAGGTTCATGTCTTTGTTCAGGTTGATGCAACTGCAGCTGGATGATTGGTGTGGCTGCGGCTGATAGGGGGGCATCCCTGTCTTGGCTATCCCCGGTTTAGTGTTGGACATTGACCTTTTCACCCGATTTTCCCGCACTGATCTCGCTCAGTTACCCTACCCAAGCCAGAGTCTCTCCTGCATCTCATGTTTTTTTTGGGGGGACGCCCCTTTCGGTTTTCAAGGAAAGCAAGCGGACGCCGTGTTGGGTTGGAGGTCGGGGAGCTGTGCGGTGCCCTGGCGGACTTCGCGCGGGGGTTGCGGCGCGCGGAGGCGTGGGTTGGCAGGTTGGGGGGGCGGGTTCTCTTAGTATGAATGGGTGTGTGCATACCCTGTCCATGCTGAAGATCTCCTTATTTTGACACGTCCCAAGTGCCAAGCCCGCTTCCACTTTAATGGGAATGCACTGGAAGCGTGTGATGTGCTGTGAGCCTGCGTGTTGTGCGAAGGCCCACTTCATTCGCCAACGGCAGGAGGCTCGACGCATATTCTGCCAGCTTCTTCACGCTGCTTTTGGGATGCCTGTTTTCATAACATCGTACAGGTCTCTCTTACAACTCCATAAAGTCTCTGTGTTGTTTGCAAGCTGCCAAGCTGCCACTTTGCTGACTGGGCTCTACGTTGCAGGACACATGCATCCCCACATTAGAAGCCATGAGCCCTACTGAGTCAAATGGCTCGGGGTTGCCTCCAAACAAGAGACCACCCCGCCCCGCAAAAATGTTTGGTTTCATGATGGCTTCTCTGTACAAAAGACGGGTGCGGGCCTAACATGGGGACACCCATTGCAGGCAGGCTATGCCGTGTCCGAGGAGGAATTGCAGAGCTGGCGCGCAGGGCTTCGCTTGCTCCGTTCGTCCTGAGATTTGGAAGCCTTCCAAAGCTTCCTCATGTTCGCATGGTAGAGATTACTCAACATAGTCATCACACATGATCCATGATTCATTTGGGAGGGACTTGGGGGACTCCCCACAACAGCCAGGTTCGGGAAACACGTAATTTTGACCGTGGCTCATATGATCACATTGCACTTGTCGATTCCGAAGGGCTGAAACCACAGACTCTGTTTGCCCCTTTCTTTTCTCCAGCTATTGTCTTTGTCTGAGTTTGGAGTCCTTGCGCCTGCAATGCATCTTTTCTTCAAATACAGCCAGACCCACAGAGTGCCAGGACCGCAGAAATTCGACTGGGAAACTTCTATGTGCAAGATTTTACTGGTCTCCGCATCCGCAAAACACATGCGCGTGGTTCAAGTGAACATGTCCCGCTCATTTTGCACAGAGCTCAAAGAGCGCCGGAGGTTACAGATAGAGGGACTGGCCTCTGGGTTTCAGATTCCTGAAACAAGCATCGGGTTGAGAAGATCATGGTAATTAATGTTGACCCCGGATGAATAGACCCCTGTTTATTAATATGGGGGTGTCCGTGGTTTTAGTGGGGACTTATCACTGTTGGAGGGGAACACCCCCATATTCATAAACAGGGGTTTATTAATCCGGGGTCAACATTACAAATATTCCGGAAAACCAAAGTTTATGTTTGGGAACGCAAGTGCAACGAGTTTCCAGGAAGCATCCCTCAGCCGTCAGGCGGAGATCTCAAGGCCAAGCGCCGGACTTCACCTGCCGCTACCTGTCGACGCCAGGCGGGGTGGGGGGGGGGGGGACGGACCGCAGGGAATCATGTGGTTGATCAGGTTAAGGTTGATGCTGACCCTGCTTCATTTTTTTTTTATCAAACGGGGTAGCCGTAGGTGATGCGCAGCCGTAGGCACTCATACAACCGCTTACGTTGGCTCAAGAAAAAGCACTGCATTAACCTTACTGAATTTCAGGTAGTTCTGTCCTACCAATTATTATGAAGGGTGTTTCTTTTGTTGTGGGTCCACTCTGTCAGGCGCCACCCCTTCATGATAATTGTGGGGCTTATTAATCAGAGGTCATCATTGCATATTAAAACCTCAAACCTGCTGACCGGAAAAGTGACGCGGGTGAGAGACAACTGCGTCGCGATGTTGAAAGTCGCGATCTTCTTCACTCGGGAAACGAGCTTCTAAAAAAATGGCATGATGTGTTCGTTGAAGGGCGGAACGCTGGTACGAGGCCCCATCGAAATCGGTGAGTTGTAGTGTGCCCAGCTTGCCGGTTGACTCGCAGCCGCCGTCAAACATCGGCTTTTCAACTTTAGGGTTTACCAAGCTAGAGGCAAGGGAAAGTTGAACTTCTTTTTTTTCAGGGGCTTTGGTGGCTCAGTCAGTCAAGGTAAGCCATCGTTTTTCGAATACATGATAGCTTCTCGGCATCATAAACTAAGAAACTTATGAACATCGCATTCTGCAGGGTGCGATACGATTACCATTGTCTCGCAAGCTGCCAAGAGTATTGTACACTTTAGGTTTTTCCGGAAGGCATACCAATGCAACTGCTGATGGAGGACCATGGTAATCAGGGGTGGTTTTGGTGTTGGTCGGAGATTGTTTTGTCATGTCTGGAAGATTTCTCTGAAAAAGATAGGTCCTCCGGAATAATCCGACGTTTGCAATGATGCGCCAAATAGCTCCAGCTTCCCAACCGGGGGAACAACCCCGGATAAATCCAGCGGGCTTTTACCACTCCTTAAGCGGTTTCACTTTCTGTGGAGTATAACAAGATATAAAACACCCACCCACTCACATGGAAGTGCAGACGCACATTTCAGAAAACGGTTTGTTTTCCTGCGCACTTCTGTGTTGTTGGGGGGCAATGTTCCCGGGTGTTCCGGTGGGAAGGTAATTTTCAAAAAGTCGAGAAGTTCCCTCGACTGTGTCGAGTCAGTTTTAGGTAAGTTTGGTTTAAGATAACAGGGGTGTTCCAGATTGGTTCCAATGTTCAGTGCCATCAGTGGCTATACCAGCCGGAGCCAAGGGTCTCAGCGCTTGAAGTGCCCAGGAGCTTCGGTAGAACCTATGTCCTTCAACGACTACATGTGCCTCATCGGGGCCAAGTGCTGAGTCACGAAATGGCTTTGGTTTTTCAGAATGGCTCGGTCACATGTTGACATGTTGAAGAATGTTTAGCACCAGTGAAGGTTCAGTTGGGGTTGTCTTTTTGGGGGGTGGCCTTACCGGGAAACCCGAAAGCAAACCATGTTGGGGGGTCGGTCACCTAAGATGTCTCAAGCTTACGGCACCCCTTTGTATGGTCGTCCTTTGACTTGTTCAGTGGCATCCTTTTTCACTTTGTTGTTTGGTGGCCTCACAAAAACATCGTCAACCCCAAAGTGGGTCCCCTTTTTCTGCCAGGGTCGCCGGTTTCCCTGTCACCCACGCCCCAAAAACGGGCACCGCAAAGACACAGACCTGAGGTCAGCTTCCTTGAGACCGGGCTCAGCGGTGTGCCGTTGTGTCCGGAGGGAGCGGAGAAGGCAGTCACTGCCCGGGCCCCCAGACGCCCAGGCCCTCGGAGGTTTTTTTGTGCCAAGGCCGGAGAAAATGACATCTCGAACTACATAGATATATATATATATTCATATGTATATATATATATATATACACACATGTATCTTTAAACACATGTGTATATATATATATATTTCAAGACACACATGCCACACACACACACACGCACACATGTGTCTTGTCAAAATCAAAGTCTCACAGGGGTTTCTTCCAGCTGTTTTTCCAAATCAGACGTGGCCAGCTCAGCATGGGATACAGCTTGATGTTGATTGGTTGGCTGAATAACATCACAACATCCAACAGTGTTGTTCAACAATACTCAGTCCTTTAGTCATGAACTAACATGTTTATGCGATAAAGAGCTTCATGATCCGCCGATCAGAGCATTAGGAACCCATGAAATAGTTGCGTCATTTGGGGTTGGCATACGAGTAGGTTGTATCATTCGAACACATACATTTATTTACCCTGCTCTGGTCACGTCATTCCCTCCTGCATATGTTGTAGCACACGCTATAGCTGTCTGTAGGGTACAAAACAATGAACCCATTTCCCGTGTAGAGGCTTGTCGTGAATGGGTCCGACTCAAACCTCATCCCTTGTTTTTTGTTGGTTATGTTTGATGATATGTGGTTTGTCAATATTCGATGCAATCTTTGGGGCATGTGCGAGGTTCCGCGGGCTACCTAATATGGCAGGTATGAACCCCTGTTCAAAGCAATTTATCGATAGTGAGTGAAAGTAATTGACACCCCCCCAAGTCACTGTTTCGTGATGTCACCGCATGGTGAAAAAGGGATCATCGACCCTGCAGTTCTATACAACGTCTCAGCTGAGACACGGAGTCTGCCGAACATGCACAAAAGAACCACTACTTGAACGCCAGCTGTAAAAAGCTCTCCTCCAATGAACTTAAACAAATAATCAAGCATGTTTCAATCATGGCCAGCCTACCTTTTCTGTGTTTGGCAAACAAACATCGGCTGCGGAGTACACCTAACTCACCGCCATGTTGTGAGTAGACACGCCCTGGGTCTTCCATTTTTGGGTCTATGCCGCTGGTCCTTCTATCTCAAGGTGCGATTCGCGAGGTTTTTCGCGCCCTTCCCGGGGGATCGGCCGAAGGGGTCACAGATGCTGAGGTCGACAACGTGTGCGAGTTCGTGGAGCTAGCTCACAGCTTCTGGCTGGACGAAGGCGAGAGTTTCAGCTTGACAGCATGTGGCAGGGGCTGAGTAATGGGAGGAGACAGGAAGCCCTGGTTTATTGGCAGGTCCCAATTTTAGAGGGGATTTACGTTTTTGGGAAGCTGGCTGATTCATCCCTGGCTGACATTTCCTGAGCCCGGTCCAGGTGTTGCTGCTCAGCTGAGCGCTTTTCGGGAAGGCCTAAACGAGGCGAGCTCGCCATGTCGCTTTGTTTGCCTTCTTTATCCGGGACAGAGAGCATGTTATAGACCCAATCTGGCACGCTTGACATTGAGCACGGTGTACTCTTTTTCGTTCAGAGCTGGATTGCCCCTGGTGTTTTGTGAGCCAACCCACCAATGGGCGAGGCGGGTCTGGGAAGGTTCTGCCTGTGGAGTGCCTCTCCGCCTTTGATGCCACGGAGCTTCGGGACATGATTTGCGGGGGCGCCCAATCTGGCGCGGGGACGATTGGGATGCAAGCATGGCGAGCAAACAAGTCAACCACTCAAACAAAATCAAGTCAACCTTACATACATTACAGAAAACACAATCAGACAAAGCACGCGATCAAATATCCCAAGCAAGCAAGAGAGCGAGCAAGCAAGCGAAAAGTACACATCACAGGATGCACCTTTGTTTTCCTCTCATGAGGAGGTTGAACGAGGTGCCCCGACTTGACTTGCAGGCCACACTCGCAGGGTGAATTCCTAAGCAGCACGCCTCAAGCGTTGAGGTGGTGAAGACACAGTGGAGCCAGCATCTCAGAATTGCCGGTCTCCCTGCGCGTCGATGTTTGCCGGATTGGTCTGTCCAACCTGGCAGAAAGAAGCCTGCATGATTTGTCACCTGGCACTTGGCGTTCGGCTCAGGTGGGGTGAGCGCGAATTGCTGGATCACTTACATCCATCAGGCGTGGTAGCACAGCTTGTTGCAACAAAGCACGCAGTGCTTGATTTGAACGGGTGCGAGGAAGCATGACCCGGGCCAGCCCGTCCTACCAGCATTTGGTGGCCTGGAACCCAGTGGAAAAATCATGAGCCAGGAGAGATATTCAGCACCGCCCCCCCCCAGAAAGGTTGCCGGAACTTCTCGAACTCATTCTAAGATTCTAAGAAGATTCTCAGACCCTTTCCTGGTCCGGGGAGGGGGGAGCCTTTGGCTTTTCCCTACTGTGGAGAAAAAGCAAATTTGCACCAGTTGGTAGGCAGTTTATCCAGCATTCATGGGTTCCCTGGCTGGAGCAGGATTCAGGGCTTTGTTCATCCAGATAGACACAAATGCATGTCGCACCACGTTTGGATAAACCCCGACAAATATTGAAATACCCCACCCCACCTGGTGTGAAGTAGATTGAGGCAGTGCTGCTGGACATGGACCAGGGCAACCGCTCGCGGTTCCTGGACTTTGTGTCCTCCTGCCCACGCCTGCCACCTGGAGGCCTATGGCAGGGTTTTGGGGGCAGTGCGTGGGTAGAAGGGGCTATCCAAGCATCGGTCACACGCGCGAGCGGGCAAACCAAGCATCACGTTGCTTGTCCCAAGGAACCACCGCCTGTGCCAGGCATGGACTCTTTCCACGTGGACGTCTTTCCCGACGCCGCAGGCGCTTTGGTAAAGCAAAACTGGAGCTTCAGCATGGAGCTCCAGCCTTGGGATTGGCACCCTCTAGGCCCCAAAAACCCAACATGGCGAAGCCGCTGAAATATCTATAATCCCACGGCTTCTGCCAGGAGGCCGCGGCTTCCCCCGGTCCAGAGCTTGCGCGAATCAGCTGTACTTGCCCTCGTGCCCGATGGGGTTGTGAGGCTATTTGGGGGTGTCTCAAAATTAGGAAGCCCGCTCTGGCTTGACACCATTAAGAGGCCTGTGAGGGCCTGACTGGTGCGCATCACATCATAAAATGTCGGCGTTCGCCTTGGATGGGCTTGGATGGACTTGCCAATTGCCCAGGTACAGATCCAAAGAAGAATTGCGCGAAAGACTTCATGAGGTCCAGCGTATGCAGTGCATGTGGCGACATCTAGCGAGTCCTTCGCCGCGCCCGCAGCACGGGAGCTCCAGATCAAACTGTGACAGTGCCGCCATCGACTTTGCTGGCACAGTGGGTTCCATAAATAGGGAATTACAGCAACGGCCAATACGGCAGTGCCTACCTGCAATGTTTAGGGCTTCATCCGTAGCTGATGATTACGTTGAGAATTGCGTTGAACATGGAGAGGTACTGTTAATCGCATGCTTATCGGCTGGTTTAGCGTGTATATACAATACAATATACAACTCTGCTTGCTACAAGCAGGCCACAGTATCTCCGTGCTAGATCATAGTAGGCGCGAACTCGAACTCGTCAGCATCATGTCGGCGATCGAAGCGGCGCGGGCTGTGATGCGCATCAACTTGCTGGTGCTGGCACTGGTTTCTGCATATCAAATTCGCTTGTATGCGGTTGAGAACTTTGGTCGAGTCATCCACGAGTTCGACCCATGGTTTAATTACCGGGCTGCTGAATACCTCGCAGCCAATGGTGCAGATCGCTTCTTCAAATGGTTTGACCACACTGTTTGGTATCCGCTGGGGCGGCCTGTTGGCACCACCATCTATCCTGGCATGCAGTTTGTGGCTGTTGCGATCTGGCGAGCTCTGCATTTGGTTGGCCAGGATATGAGCTTGCATGACGTGTGCGTCTTTGTGCCCGCCTGGTTTGGCGTGGCCTCCACGGTGTTCCTGGGACTTCTCGCGTACGAGTGTACGCGCTGCGTGGACGCAGCACTCAGCGCCATGTTCATCGTGGCCATCCTTCCTGCACATCTCATGCGATCCGTGGCGGGTGGCTTTGACAACGAATGTGTGGCCATCACCTTCATGAACGCCACCTTCTACTTCTGGTGCCGGGCCCTGCGCGACGCGGGCTCCTGGCCCTGGGCGGCCGCGGCGGGCCTGGCGTACTTCTGCATGGTGGCGTCCTGGGGAGGCTACGTCTTTGTGGTGAATGTCATTGGGCTTCATGCCGCCTGCTTGATGCTGTTGCGGCACTCGAGCAAGCTTCACCGTGCATACACTCTGTTTTTCCTCTTGGGCACCGGCCTCGCGGTGAATGTGCCTGTGGTGGGATGGATGCCATTGAGGAGCCTGGAGCAGCAAGTACCCCTGATGGTTTTCTTCGCTTTGCAGGTGTTTGAGCTCCTTGCGACTTGGAGAAGGAGGTCCAAAATGTCTTCCCAGGACTTCCGTCACTTGCAGTTCCGAGTACTGGCGCTGGGTGGTGTGCTGGCGGCGGTGCTGGCAGCAGCTCTCTTCCGGCTGGGCTTCTTCGCCCCGCTGTCCAGCCGCGTGCGGGGGCTCTTCGTGAAGCATCGCACGGGGAACCCGTTGGTGGACTCCGTCGCGGAGCACCAGGCCACAAGCCCCAGGGCGTACTGGCAGTTCCTTCACCACATGTGCACCATGGCGCCGCTGGGCTTCCTGGTTTGTCTCTTTGACTTGACCGAGCCCAAGAGCTTCCTCCTGCTCTACGGAGCAGTCACCTACTACTTTTCGGCCAAGATGAACAGGCTGGTGCTGCTGCTTGGGCCCATTGCCGCGGCTCTAGGCGGCGTGGGGGTCACTGCCATGGTGGCCTGGGCCTTGCGGCAGTTGGAGTTCTTCCAGCCTGAAAAGAAGCAAGCCAACGAGACGAAAGAGGCAAAGGCGAAAGTTAAGAGGGCCAAGGCCTCGGCGAAGCAGTCCCAGGCAGGGAATGGTGAAGGATCTACGCTGTCAGAGCTCTGGGAAGAGCTGAAAGTCCCAGTGATGGAGGCCTACAGCGAGGCGATGTGGCAAAGGAAGGCCACATCGGGTCTGATGCTGCTCATGGTGCTTTTCTGCGGCTTGGAGTTTGTGAACTACAGTTGGGCGGTCTCCGAGCGTCTGTCCCAGGCTTCGATCATCTTGAAGAGACACAAAGACGGCAAGGAGATACTCATCGATGACTACCGTGAGGCATATTGGTGGCTCCGAGACAACACTTCCCAAGACTCGCGTGTCATGGCTTGGTGGGACTATGGATACCAGATCAATGGCGTTGCCCAGCGCACCACCCTGGCTGATGGCAACACCTGGAATCACGAGCATATCGGTCTCCTTGGCAAATGCCTGACAGGCCCCGAGCAGCGATCTCACGAGATCATCCGACACTTGGCAGACTACGTGCTCATTTGGGCGGGAGAAGGCGGCGATGACCTCGCAAAGTCGCCGCACATGGCGCGCATTGCAAACTCCGTCTACGACGATGTTTGCCCTGACGATCCGCTATGCACCAAATATCGCTTCGACCGCAAGACGCGCGAGCCAAGCGACATGATGAATCGGTCGCTGTTGTGGAAACTGTATGGGCATGGCTGGATCAACGACACCAAGGTTGACCCCGCTCTGTTTGAGGAGGCCTACACATCTCGGTTCGGCATGGTCCGGATCTTCAAGGTTCTGAACATCTCGCAAGAGTCCAAAGAGTGGGCGGGCAACCCCGAGAACTGGAAGTGCGACGCCCCAGGCAGCTGGCACTGCCCCGGGCAGTATCCTCCCGCCTTGGGCACCGTGCTGGAGAAGCAGCGGGCCTTCAAGCAGCTGGAGGATTTCAACCGGAAGCGGGACGAGAAGGCCGAGGAGTACCACAAGGCTTACATGGAGATGGCGCGGCCGTAGCGTGGGATGATGGGAACGGAGCGAGCAGCTCCATCTGACCCCGCGGACCAAAAAAGGAGTATTGCCAGAGGAGAAACCAGGTGCAACCGGCTGAAACACAGGCAACATGGGGGTGTCCCGACATTGGGAACTTCCATGTGGATGCTGAAGGGGAACTAAGATGAAGGCCGGTGTCGTTCATGCCAACCAGGTCCTTTGGAGCCTCATGCCTGCTTTGCATCAAGCGTTGTTCTTTCTCTGCCAGGCGATGCATGGTTCTGCGGGACACCACGAACAGGAGCAACGTATCCTGGCATCCTGACAAGGCCTTGGCCTGACCCGGTAGCGTTGATGGCCGTTAATCAAACTTATTCGGAGGGCCGGTTCAGTTCCTTTTTGTGTCTTTCCGGGCTGACTTTTGGTCTCTTCGTGCTATTTTGCGGCTGTTAACTTCAACCCACTAAACTCACCAAATCAGCTGCAAATAAACCACCACGCTAAGCCCACCCAAACCAAAACCAGCCCTAAATCCACCCTAAACAAACCCCACACAAACCCTAAACACGCCCTATCCCTCCCTAAACCAACACTAACTAAACCATCCCTCACCCACCTATACAAACCCAAACCAACCTAAACCAACCCTAACACCCACCCTAAAGAAACCGTGATGCCGAGGGTGTACAAAACAATGCTAGAGATGTTGAAACGATGCCGGGCATATTAGCAGCGCTGGTGCAAAGCCAGTGCATGTTGATAGAAGATGCTGTAGAGTACATCATGTTCTTAGCACCGGCAGTGAAAGCAAGCAAAACTCAATCAAATCTCGACACTGTGATGATGGCCATCCTCCATCCACATGGCATGTGCATCAGCGAGTTTGTGCCCTTATCAAGCACGAGCAAGGATGTGCCGCCGTCATAGATGCTTGGTTTCAACCGCCGTCACTGCCTGTTCGTCTGCTTTTTTGGCTCATTTGGCTGGGGGCGTTGACAGGTGGTAGCAGCACCTTGAGTCGAGCGAGCTCAGACTCTCAGCCAAGTCTCACTGCCGTTTCGATCATTTTTTTCCAATTCTTCAGGATGGTGTCCCTGCAAGCAGCGGCAACTTGCCGAAGGCACTTCTTTCTCGGTTCAGAAAGGCCGAAGATGGCTTCTCCATATTTGCTCCAATCAAATTGGAAGGCAACACTGCTTGCCGGGCTCGCTTTTACCAAGATACACCATCTGAAGGGCGTGTAGTATTCACGCACGTTGCATGACCCCAGGCAATTTTGGGCTGACTTTCAGGTGAGCCGTTTTGAGCGGGTTGTGCTTGGCACTCAGCTCTGTACATAGCTGGCGAGCGGCCAGGCAGCTGGCGCTCGCCACATGCAACATTCTTGAAGGGTGCACAAGCTCGTGTTTGACCCCTGCAAAAGCACAATCTGATTCATACGGTTTGCTTTCCGAAGGTGTGTTGCTGCTGGAGTGGATTGTGTATTTCTGGAAAGCATTGGGACAGACCCTGGTCAAGAGATGTTGCACCTGATATGCCGTGCGGGCGTGGCAAGAGTGCGCCGAAGCGTATTCTCGCAAGAGAAGTCCATGGTACGTAGGGGCACTTTCGTTGTAGCTGCTTTTCTGTTACGTGAGAGAGATGCATTGATCCGACTGTTGCGCTTTCTTGTTTGCAAAGCAAGTGCCAGTGCCAGCCTTGATGGGATGGACCAGGATGGAGGAGAATGGACATGATATTCGCAAGCGAAAATCAGATTCGCCGGCCTCTGAAAATACACAGCAACATCCCGTCAGAAGACACCAATTCGATGCATTTGATAGGATTGTTTCTGTGCGCGCGGAAGATGCAGCGCGACGCAGTTGTGAGGCGGTGGATATTTGAAAGAGATGTCCGCAGAGCTCGAGTGTTGGCCGCTTTTTCTTCCAGCCAAGAGCTGTTGAGTGGGAGTGGAAAGGACAATTCTCCCCTTCATGTTGGATTGATGGGTCGAGCTGCAGACCAGACGTCAGCACGATGCACCCACAGGTTGCACTTTGGACCCACGTATGGTTCAGATTCTGTATGGATGTTTCTTTAGTTCTTCGTCGCTGCCATCATTGTGCTCAAGCTTTTGTGATCGTTATATGTTTGTTACCTGTTCTTTCGACTTGTGGAATATGCATTAAAAGGGTCATATTCAGTGATGGCCGACCTTTGAGCGCATGAGGGAGCAGCTCGCTCGTGATCGGGCTGTTATTGGCCGCTGCAAGGTGTCCGTACTATACGCGTGGACCCCACACAACTCGGCGCAGTATGCTTGATTCAGGTTTTTCAAGAGCGCAACTGTTGCCAGGGAACAGCTCAGTCGTTTCCCCGCGAAAATTAAAGCTTTGTTCTTTTCCGGGCAGTCGGCCTGGGTCCGGGATGGCTGGGACCCCGGCCACGGCCTTTGTCCAGCCGGTCCCGGCTAGGCGGGTTTTGGGCAATTGGTCTTGGAGGGGGGGCTCAAGTTTGTGGACAAATGGTTGGCCTTTTTTGGTTCTTAGGCCTGCTGAAAGCACCCTGAAACACCAGTTTTGCGGACATAACGCAGCAAGAGGCACCTTGCCACGTTCGGCTTTCAGAGAAGCTTGTCTTTGGTTTGGGCTCGCTTTGAGGTTGCCAAGTTGACGCAAGAACAAGCTTGTTGAAACACTTTAGAGATAGGGTGAAAGTCCGAGCAAGACCAGGCGATTCCATCATGTCGAAGCCAGCAGACAAGAGATGGGTGCCCAAATGAGCCACTGATAATATCATCGGTAGTTATGGTAGTTGTTGGTTAATCAGGGAGGGCCACCCAAGTTCTCCACTCAAACCGGGGGAAACCCACCCAATTAATTTGTCAATGTTCTCTTGGGGGGCAACAGATCTTGCTTCTTGTTCATATTGTGGGTGTGTCCTGAACTTGGGGACACCGTTTATTGTTTTGACTTACATCAGGAAAACAGATGCGAAGACTTCGCCGTTCAATTTTTGTGTTTCCAAGGTAAGCTCAGGAAGCCACATCCTAAGCATCCCATCTGACGATGGGGGAGGTCGCCAGAAGAGGATGGTCTTCCAGACACTTCTCAGCTTCAATTTTTGCTTACTTGGGCATGCGGCAGGTGGCATGCAGTGGCCTCTCCCAGAGCTTCAACCTCAGGCCTGCGTGGGCCTGTCCACCGGGGGGTGTTGGACGGTTTCAGGCCATTTCAAGACAATTTGATACTGAACAAATACAGTTGAGTGGCAACAAGGTTAGCGATTCTGTGCCTAATGTAGTCCAAAGCTAAGGGGATGCGGGCTTGCAGATGGAACCAGAAGGGCTCCCCGGATTTGCTTTTACAGTCAGCTACATGAGCAAATCCCAATGTCTCAACATGGCGGGCCATGGC